GTTCAGGGTCGCAACATTCTGACCAACTTCCACGGCATGGACCTCACCACGGACAAGCTCCGCTCAATGGTGAAGAAGTGGCAGACGCTGATTGAGACGCACGTCGATGTCCGCACCACCGACGGATATCTGCTGCGAGTCTTCTGCATCGGCTTCACTCGCAAGTGGCCCCATCAGATCAAGAAGACCAGCTACGCGCAGACCACCAAGGTGCGTGCCATTCGCAAGAAGATGGTGGAAATCATCACTAAGAGCATCAACACCAACGAGCTGAAGGACGTCGTCCTGAAGCTGATCCCCGACTCGATCGCCAAGGACATCGAGAAGCAGTGCCACTCCATCTACCCGCTGCACGACGTGATGATCCGCAAGGTGAAGGTCCTGAAGAAGCCCAAGTTCGACCTGAGCAAGCTTCTGGAGATGCACGGCGAGGGCAGAGGCGCCTCTTCATCGGCTGCGCCACCGAAGGACGGTGAAAGTACCACCAAGGTCGACCGACCGGAAGGATACGAGCCACCGGTGCAGACTGCTGTGTAAACATCTTTTTTGCAAATAAAAATTATATAAATGGAACTGATCGAGTTGGAGTAGTTGAAAAGATTTCCTGCGTGCTTAGTATTCTGCATTGCTTTTATGATTCCAGTTCTAGAATTAACTCAATAGTAGTGACTAACTTTCTTTTCTTGGCTACGTTCTCATTCAGTAGAATGAGGAGGAAGTCGGACGCCAGTAGTTAAAGAGTGTGCCACATCTGCTTTGTGGTTATAGACTAAAAGAGTGCATCAATAGTTAATTCTGAAATATCTGCTTTAGAATAGCTCTTTTTGGAGCATTTAGTTCCTAATCTGATTCGTAGCTATGAAAATCCACTCCTAAGCATCTATCCCTTCGATTGGATTTCCCTTCCTTCGCTCGACTATTTTCACCGCATCACTTTGTTTTGGTTGAGAGTTCCCGTCTGACACATGTAGCCCAAGTGACTGCCACATCGACGAATACTCTCCTCCATCCTTTTGGTCGTTTCCCATTATCTTTTACCCTTTTTCTTCATCACCGCCCAACCCCTCTCTTCAAGATGTCTGTTGAAGAGCTGCAGAAGAAGGTGAAAGAGCTGGAGTCTCTGGTGGAGGAGCTGAGGGCAAAGGGAGCAAGTGGTGGTGGTCCAAGTCGCCAGAAAATTGAGCAGATGAGCGCCGAAGTGGTCGATGCCAATCCCTACAGGTTTGATGGAGTGCTTTCTCTTGAACTTCCTTTTACTAAAAATCTTCCTTTTAAAACTTAGTCGACTGATGGCCTTACAGCGAATGGGAATTGTGAAAAACTATGAGGTTCGCTACATTTTGTCACNGTCGACTGATGGCCTTACAGCGAATGGGAATTGTGAAAAACTATGAGGTTTGCTACATTTTGTCACCAGAACTAGAATGTGTTGACTAACTGGTGTTATTTTTTACTAAACAGGAAATTCGCACATTTACAGTGGCTGTGGTAGGCGTGGGCGGTGTCGGTAGTGTCACTGCGGAAATGCTCACCCGCNTAACTGTTGTTCTTTCCAACTAAACAGGAAATTCGCACCTTTACAGTGGCTGTAGTGGGCGTGGGCGGTGTCGGTAGTGTCACCGCGGAGATGCTCACCCGTTGTGGCATCGGCAAGCTGATACTCTTCGACTACGACAAGGTGGAGATGGCCAACATGAATCGACTGTTCTTCCAGCCGAACCAGTCGGGTCTGAGCAAGGTGGAAGCCGCCAAGGAGACGCTCAGCTTCATCAACCCTGACGTCACCTTTGAGACGCACAACTACAACATCACCACAGTGGCCAACTTTGATCACTTTATGAGCCGCCTGAAGGAGGGCAGTCTGACCGGTGGTCCCGTGGATCTGGTGCTTAGCTGTGTGGACAACTTTGAGGCAAGAATGGCCATCAACNGGTCTGAGCAAGGTGGAAGCCGCCAAGGAAACGCTCAGCTTCATCAACCCCGACGTCACCTTTGAGACGCACAACTACAACATCACCACTGTGGCCAACTTTGATCACTTTATGAGCCGCTTGAAGGAGGGCAGTCTGACCGGTGGTCCGGTGGATCTGGTGCTCAGCTGTGTGGACAACTTTGAGGCAAGAATGGCCATTAATACGGCCTGCAATGAACTGGGCCAGACGTGGTTTGAGTCGGGCGTTTCGGAGAACGCTGTTTCTGGGCACATTCAGTTTATCAAACCTGGAGAGACGGCCTGCTTTGCGGTAATTTTTTTGTCTGTTTTCAAGTTTATTCTCATTCTAAACACAACTTTTAATCCCTTACAGTGCGCCCCACCGCTGGTGGTCGCCTCGAACATTGACGAGAAGACGCTGAAGAAGGAGGGCGTCTGTGCGGCCAGTCTGCCCACCACCATGGGCATCGTCGCCGGCTTTCTGGTGCAGAACACGCTGAAGTACCTGCTTCGCTTTGGTACCGTCACGCGCTACCTAGGCTACAATGCACTGCAGGACTTTTTCCCCTCTTACGGCATGAAGCCTAATCCAAGCTGCGATGAGTCCTTCTGCGTCAAACGGCAGAAGGAGTTTGCCGTGGCTGTAGCCGCTGCCGCCAAAGTGCCGACCGTTGTCGCCGAAGTGGAGGATGATGCCGTCCTGCACGAGAACAACGAATGGGACATCAGTGTGGTCGACGAGACGGTCCCCGAAGAGGAGAACCTCGAAGTTGCCCAAGGAATCGCCCTGTCCTACTCAAGGCCCGCCGAAGTGGAAGGTGGTGGTGATATCAGCAAGCAAGCACCATCCGTCCCCACCTCCACAGCCAATGAGCCGTCCCTTGAAGAGCTGATGGCGCAGATGAAGAGGCTGTGACGAGGTCCTAGGTCCCCATTTCGAACCTAATCATTCCAAAACTGAACACGCAATACACACACCCAATTCCCGAACCAAATGATTGACTCATTGAGGATGGCCAGTGGCCACTTTTCTTCCTCGCGCGCCGCTGTAATCGGCCGCAATCGTCTCGTCCACTGTGAACGAAGGCACGCNAGAGCTGATGGCGCAGATGAAGAGGCTGTGACGAGGTTCTAGGTCCCCATCCCGAACCTAATCATTCCAAAACTGAATACGCAATACACACACCCAATATCCGAACCAAATGATTGACTCATTGAGGATGGCCAGTGGCCACTTTTCTT